ATTAATATTAATAATAATGATATAATAATATAAATTAGTAATTTAATAATTAAATAACTTAGATAATAATTAGATAATAATTTAATTCCATTACCAATGTTTATATATATAAAATAAAATTAAATAATTAAATAATTTAGATAACAATTTAATTCCATTACCAATGTTTGTACATATATATATTACCAATGTAATGATAAAAAGAAAGAAAAATTGTTTCATTTTTTCTGAGACCCTCTATCTATTTCAAATTTAGAAAAACTTCAGTTCAAAACCAATCCTCTGAATTATTAACCCTTATACTCGACGATTTTTTGGTTAAAGAAGAGTAGGAGTTTAAAGATTTTCTGCTATAAAGCTGACGATATTTTTTCGAGGATTAAATAAGAAACCGTATAATAATTAATACATGGAAGTATTTCATTTCGATATTTCGCACACCATTACATTATCTTAAATTTGACATATTAATTAATATCAATCTTCGAGTGCAAAGGGTTAATATTTATAATATTCTCCTAAAAATATTTTCTCAACCCTCCAAACATTTCCAAAGACAAATAAAAATCGGAGATATAAATAGGACACCTCGTATATATATATATATATAATATCTTCGTTGCTCCTTAAAAATTCCTCTGTCTCTTTCAAAAAATCAAATTCCCAAGTCTCCTCGTCACAAAAATCAAAAAAGGAGGGTACAATTCATCTCACAAGGATTCCCGCAATAATTCGCAGAAATCCAAACAAATATCGCGCAATTCGTTGCGAATTGCTGGGATGAATACGCGCACGGTGCACAGTGATGCGCGTTTCATAATTAAATCGCGTTCACGCTGGAGCATCGCGAGCTCAATCTTGCGACCATGGGGAGGCAGAGGTGAGGGAAATTTGGTTAGCCCGAGGAAAACGCGGGCCGCTGATATAGAGATCTAATTTCCTTCTGCGCGAGTCTTATAATTCACCGTGGTTCGAGGGGCTAAGGTCCCGGGGTCAGCCGCAGACGTAACAATTCACTTTTAAGTGTCCTCCAGCAGACCTCCTGGCAGCATTCCTCGCGGCTCTTCCCTGCTTATGCCTCGGTCCATTAACATAGAGATTGGCAGGAGTTTCATGCATCGATCTCTCCCTAGCCGGAGTCAAGTATCCATATCCATCCGGAGAGGGCTGCTGGCTGGGCGCGTAAACGTAAGAAAACCCTCTCCACGTCGTTCCTACTATTATCCTTATTTTTCCTTTATTTTTCCCATTTGTAGTTTCACCTGGTCGTGCGATTGTACACACTCGCGACTCGAAAAAATGATTTTTATTTTTCTTTTTTTTTTTATGGAAGTTGACGCAGTAGGGTGACTTTCGGTTCGATTTTAGAGGTGGCTCGTGAGGTGGTTGATAGGGGTAGTCTGTGTGTGTTTGGCTGTTCTTTTTTCCCCGTTTTCGTAGGTGCGCGGACATCGTTCGATTCTTTCGGGGCGGAGCTCTGGTTGACCACTGGCCAGCGCGCAAACTCGGCACTGATGACCCCGGTGTATGTAACATCACCTTTCCAGCGAGTTGGGTGGTTGCATGGGAATCGCCTGACGATGTGTATGTGACGAGACTCTCGTCCGTGTTTCCGTGCTCCGTTGCTCTGCTTTTTATTGATTGTTTGCAACCGTTGCAAGTATAGTACTATTTCGAATTTTATTTACGATGGTATTATAACGAATCTCTGATACGACAAGCTTTTTCCTTAAAATTATGTCTTTTTCATCCCTCAAGGATTAGATTCGTATCCAAAATTTCCAAATATCGTTTGTTCAATATTAGAATGATCGAAAAAATTTCTAAATTTTGCCAATTCATGCTGTGCTCAAAATACTTTCAATTGGACTAGAATTTCCAAAATAAAATGAATTTTGCAACGATTTTCAGTTACTAATTTTTTAAATATTAACCCTTTTAGTGCCAACGAAGATATATATCTTATTCTTCGAACTGCGAGAAAGCTGAATCTCAAAATAAATTTATAAAATGTTACAAACGGTGTAATTATAAATATAATTGATCAATTTCTATATTTAAAAGATATTATTGTTAAAATTAAACTTATAAATATCAAATTTAAATATTCAGGTAGAAAAATTATTGTAAATATTCTTCTTATTATTATAAATATTAATTGTCTTAAAGTTGAATAAGCAATATTTTTTTTAATATCTAATTCAAAATTTGCAGAAATTCCAGAATGTAATATAGTTAATCTTGATATAAATAAAATTATATTTTTAAAATTTAATTCTAATGTTTCTTCATAACGAATTATTAAATAAACTCCAGCTGTTACTAAAGTTGATGAATGTACTAATGATGAAACTGGAATAGGAGCTATTATTGCTATAAGTAATCATGTACAAAAAGGAATTTGTGCTTTTTGGTAAAAATCATTAAAACAAATATTATTATAATTAAATTTGTTATATAATAATATTTATTGCAAAAGAATTTAGAAAATTGTTTTTGGGTTTAACTTTTTCTATATTCTATATTCAATACTCTTTATATACTGGAATGATAAGCTAGAAACCAATAATTTCTTAACCGATATTGATTATTTTGTTAACCCTTTGCGCACGACGATTTTTCGAGTAAGGAAGGTTTACTATTTGAAAAATTTTCTGTTATAAAGCTGATGATATTTTTTGAGCAGTGAGTAAGTAATTATTTAATTTCGATACCTCGCACACTGTACATTAATTTAAATTTGATATATTAATTAATATCGTGCTTGGAAATTTTAAGAAATAGC